TAAAATTTGTTACGAATGCTGTTCGTTAGTCGAAATAGCCGAATATGATCTCTGCTCAGAACATAAGCAACTTGAACTCTGGAACACAGAAAATGGCAGCAGTTCCTCCATTGAACACTTGATGTCGAAAATAAATCGTTTTCGATATCATCTGCAAATACTCTTAGACTGGATGAAATGTGTGTTTCTTATCAAAAGTTTTTCGTCGCTTCGTTGGATCTTCAATAACAATTGACGCTTTCTTCTCGAGTTTGAATTTCCTCCGCGAAATTTTAGACCTGATTCGACTACAAATAGATTCATTTTATTATTTTCTACTATTTCTCCGAGCTAATTTGTTTCTCGTCGTCTTACTAATGTTCTTTATTTCTCAAGAGATCGTGTTGAAGTCGGGCATAGTTAAAATCCGCGCACTTTCTTGCTGTTCTTGTAACAAGACTTTGGACTGCGTCTTCAATTACTTCCACTTCCGTTCATCAGTTTTTTGCCTTTCAAAGCTAACACACTGTTTTCTACTTTTAAATCTGGAATAGACGCCTTTTCCTCCATATTCATATCTTACAAGTGCTCAAAGATGTTTGTACTCTATTACTCGCTTCTTTCACATAGCTAACTTCGTGTCACGCAATTTATGTGCGAAGGACTAAATATAGGCTGTCAAGATGAACTTCAGCGACAAAGATAATCTCACAAAGTTCACTCTTTCCTGCGAATGGTCCCAAGTGAGCCTTGGACGTTACGAAGTGATGTCACGCTATATCTAAGAAAGTAATATTTTCCCTTTATGCTTTCAAAAGTGCGCTAAGATCTTCACGAGCTTCAACTGTGATCCTTGCAGTTTTTGTTTTTGTAGATTGTGGAAGCTTATCTTGTTGTTGTTTTGCTGATGGTGGGGTTTCTAGATTAGTTTGGCAATAATTGCTGTTCAACACATGGTTTCCAATGCCTTGAAATCTATCTATACTCTTTGCAGAGAAATTTGGTTTATTTGATTTCCACCAGACAATCGTACAATTTTTTACATGCAAAGAACTCATGGATAACAAAAACGAATCTGATGCGGAAAGGTAATAGGCTGTTCGCTGTTCACGTGAAGTTGTAAAAACCAGTCTGGTAGAATCTAGCATATTATCACTTTCTCGAAAAGGAGTGTCCAATTTAACGTGATTTTAGTAACCAAGCAGAGTTAGTTTTTCCCGCAAAACTGCTGTGGCATGGAAACTGAGACAAAAATTTGTTTCTGAATATTGTCCAACTTTGTTCAAGCCGTAACAGGTTTTTAGAGGTGTCTTTATTTACTACCTGACGTTTATGTTCCTCTAGAACCTGTAACGGCTTAAACAACGTTGAAACAAGGTTTTACAAAAAGGAGACATGAATGTTTCTGAATATTTTTTTATATTTTTTGTCAATACAAATTTCTAAATTAGCAGAACAATGCACTGTCGCTTTGTAGACATGATTGGCCATGTCATCTAGACACTATCAGCCACGTAGACCCATCGTGAAAATCCCGGGTAAGATCATTCGTTATCGCATGTGGAAGTTTTGCGGGCTGTGTTTTCGTAGGGATAAGTGTGTCTTCATTTCATCGAATGCTTCATTGTTGAATTGTCTCATTTATGCTACGGTGGTATTC